TGCTTCTCTTGAGAGCTTAAGCAATGACATCTTTGTAATCCTTCTAGTACCAGACCAGTGCCTGTTTTTAACATCATCATGGGCTGTTATAGGAACCTGTTCCCCTACCAAATAAAAAAAACATACACTTCAAAAGAAAAAGAGCCCAGGAAAACAGAAAGATTAGAAAGTTTAAGTGAAACAAACTCCTTCAGTTTTATTGGACGATGAGGACAAACTCCTCAATTGCCCCTTTTCCATCAGGAGGGCCCAGATTTAAGACTCTATAAGCCACTGCCTAAACCTATCATTTTTTTTCTTCCTACAACTCCTCCTCCGTTTTATCTATGACCCCTGAAGGCAGGCACACAAAGTGATGCTCAATTACTCCCACTAGTTATATTTACATTTTGTATCAGCCACCTACGGTGCCACATAAATATCTAACAAATAGCACCTACACCTCTTGCTGCATGTATACTCCCACATTCCCTCTCAAAAATTCATTTGAAAGCCTTGTTTTATTACATGCTCAAGCAGCCAGGAGTTTTTCAGCTGTTGGGCACAGGTGGTTCCTAACATGCCTTGAATTCTGTCTTTGTATCATTTCAACATTTTTTGTGACTGCTTGCATGATAGAATTACAAAAGAAATGGGAAAAAAAACATGTCAGCTACGAAATAAGTAGAACACAGTTCTATAATTAAAGCATTCACATCAGACTATCTCCAAGCTCAAGAGATTTAAAAACCAGTATAAACCAAACTAATTTGCATCTGACTCAAGGAAGGCATTAAAATTGCAAAGGACTCAAGAGCAAACAGCAGTTTGGGGTTTGGAGAAAAGAAAAGATGCAAAATCATTGAGGACTGTGGCTTAACGAGGGATCCAGAGTTATCTTAGATGAGATGTTGATAAAATATGCAGGCAAGTAGGTAATGTAATGGAGGATTCTCTGCTCCTTGAAGTCTTTAAACCACGATTTGAGGACTCAATAGCTCAGACATAGGTTAGAGGTTTTTCGCAGGAGGGGGTGGGTGAGATTCTGTGGCCTGCGTTGCGCAGGAGGTCGGACTCGATGATCTTAATGGTCCCTTCTGACCTTAATATCTATGAATCTATGTATTATTTCACTTACCCTGGGGAGTGGAAGTTGTTAACTTCTCATGTGGCCAGGGTAACCCAATATTCTCCAAAGTATTAGTGACATTTAATAAAATTGATGCAGCGTGGTCTTGATCCATGATTATTCTAACCACGTTGCATATGTAAGTACTTCTTGACCATGTCACACAAACATAAGGCGGCAGGTGTGCCACAAGGGTCAAAAAGCCTGACAGATATGAACTGAAGGGCCACATCTCAATCCATTAATGGCAAAGCCAAAGGGAGACAGAAAAAAAGAAAGGAGACTGCTGGGAAGTAGAAATGAGAAGCTCCACCAAACCGAACCTAACAACCTTGCTCTGTTTCAGCTGTGTTCTTTTATTTTTTTCTTAAAACTTAGTTCCATCTCAGTCCTCCTCTCCGTTTTTACACTCTTTCCTTGTGTTCAATCTTTTTGTCCCCACTCCCCTTACATCAACAGTCTTCTACTCTACCAGCCTCAACTCTTTGCCCCCTTAATTCTTCAGCATCCTTCTTTTCCCTTTGTTAGACTTCGCCTGGCCTGAATCACCTACTTTGTTCTGTCACAACGACAAAAACAAAGTGGGAAGTAATTGACTGGTTCTTCTTTAACAAATGTCATCTGATCTGTGTAAGTGCAAGGACTCACTCTCTGCAGGTTCACCTGAATTAACTAGCAGCAAAGCCAGATGTCAGATCACACCTGCATAGCAACATTTCACAAGTGTTATTTGATCCCCTAAGAAAAGCTGTGCTATCTTCTAGATAAAATACCAAGATAAGCTCCCACACAAGATAAGAGATCTTTCAGGATAATTTTTTTCATAAAATACCCATCATATAGGTTTTCCCCTTATTCTGAAGGCCAATCTGACAAGCTCCCCTTAGTTATAGCAAAGATGAAAACTGAAGAGGTCCATGTATCAGTATCCAGGACTCTTAAAAATAATATAATTTCATATCCCATATAATTGCATGCTTGAAAATGCAGGGTATTTAAATACTAAATGGAGGCCTTGTGTCTTGTCTACACACAGAAGTTGCAGCAGTGCAACACTTGTGCGTGAAGACTCTTGTATCAGTTTAAACCGGGCTTATGTCTGTCCACATACAAAACTTGTGCTGGTTTAACTGAATCGGTATAAAAATTACCCCTTTACTTACATCTGTGTGTGTAGACTCAACTGTGTGCATTGACTAGGCAAAGCTTGTTTGTTTCAATGGTACTTTTATATTACTGCCTATCATTTTTATATTTCCATTCTCCAACAATAAATTCAGCAGCTGTAGCAACAGCTGGGCAGTTTTAGCAGCTGTAGGATACAGATGCCAAATTCTAGACAATATCTTCCTAGCAAAAGAATCTAGGGTCTGTAGCTACTTGTTATGGATTCCCCAATTAACACCTTTAGCCAGATGCACAGTTGTAACAGGGGTCTGACCTATGTCAGCATTTTGCTTCTGTAGCACTAACTAGACACTGAGGGCCTCTTAAAAATGGTCTTCCCTCTGATTCAACTTTAGCAGAGAAGATTCCTTTCACTGTTATGCGAGAATAACATTCGGCAGAATCGTCTTACTAATTCTTTATGCAGGATCCATTTGCTCCCTTTAAATTATGCACTTGCACTAGAAGATTTTCCAAATTCCAGCTGACAGGGTAATGTACTGAGTATGCTTTATAAATTAGAAATACATTTTGTAATTCATTAAAATGAAATGATGGGAAGATGTCAGCATTCTCTGGCAACAGAAGGAGAGCAAAATTCAAGGTAAAACGTAACCACTTTGGAGGCAGAGTATGAACTGACTGAAGCCAGCTGCTGCATATTCTAAAAGCTCCTTATGTCTGGGATATTTCCATTTTCCCCCCAACAGATATAGTGCCATGTGTGACAAATAATGGGAGGCAGTAACCAGACCTACTGCAGAAAACAGTAGCAACACATTTAGTTGGGCCTCCGCTACGCAGCCTTCCAGAAGGGATTTGCAATTACCACAAGAAGGGGGGGAGGGAGAGAGAGATATTTACACCAAAGAAGAATTAGGCCAGTTACCAGTCTGCCCGAGAACATGATTAGTTCTAGAGGAATAACTCTGGGGTAGACTGCGGAGAATGTTGGGTCATTAAGGTGCCATCTAGTCCCTAAAAACCTGCCACATAGTTGCCTCCAACTGGTCTAGAGAGGTAACCTTGTAACTGAAGTGGTGGACACTTTGGGCCAGATTCTAAAAAGTGTGACGTGGCTGCTTTCCACTGTGCCACCAGTGTAAACTGGCCCTAAAACCAGTATAACTAGTCAAAGGATCATCCCAGTGCAGGAATGAATTTACATGGAACTGATCTAGAGGCTCTTATCCCACAATCCCTTCCTGCTGATGGTGTACCAGGGAAAAAGTGGCATGACCAGGACACCCCTTTGTTATGCTGGTTTTGGCTAGGTTCTCAGCCACCTGGGGCCATTTATAGTTGGTGTAAGGTAGAATAGCCTGACAACAGCACTAACTCTGCTGGGAAACTGGCCCTGCACAGACTGTAACAGGATCTGGGAGTGCAATGTTGAGCTTGAAGCCACTTTTGCACACATATACACACTTCCTACATTTGGGACATAGTTGAGGATCTGCCCCTTTGTATATCATGGCAAAATTTTTCAAACTGGATGCCTAAAGTTAGGTGCCTAAAGTCAAGAGACAGGTACCTGCAGCTTCTATTGACTTCCATAGCAGTTGTGGGCATTAAACTGCTCTGAAAATCAGGCCACTTATTTCGGCATCTAACTGGATTTGTGAGACAAACATCAGGAACACAGATGTGAAAACTCCAGTCAATATGCCTGAAGATCAAAATTAAACCAGAGAAACCAGAATTCCTCAACCTGTATGTTTTCAGGCCACGCACTATTCTCTTTCCTTCCCCCTTCACCACCTTGCACTTTTTTGATAGTTTTGCGGGATGGTTCAGTTTTAATTCTTTAAAACTTGGAATGGCAAATAAAGAAGGTGCAAGGTAATATCTCCCTAGGAGAGGACAAAGTTGGAACATAATCAAATAAAACTGATAGACTCCTTCACAACATAGGCATGGATGTAAGAGCAGGAAAGAGAAGTTCAAGGGTCTGAAGTATGTATTTATATCAGCATCACAAGGCATAAAAGAAAGAAAGCTCTATTTTTGAAAGAGTTGGGCACTTATTTCTACAGCGATAGAAAACTAATGCATGCTGCAAGGAGTATAGCCGTGGCAGAGAAAGTGTATGAGGAAATCAGAGGTGCTTGGCCTTGAATATGGCTATTCATTATTTTCTCTACAGTCATAGCTTCAAGGCTGAAACACCCCATAAACAAGTGACTGCAACACATAAAAAAGGGCCTGAAGAAGCATCCCCAAGGATCAGCATAACCAAAGTACAATAAGAATCTGGAATTCCAGCCAGGGCATCAGCCACTCACTGCAAGGGCACATGCACTAGTTGGTGACATGCAACCAGGTGATCTGTTACATACAGTAGCTATACGTGTGAACATGATAAAAGCATCATAGGTGTTTTTCTTCCTAGGGATACACCACAAGGAAAAACACTAAAATCTCTAATACAAGCTATTAGAAATGAAAGAAGAAATCAACACTTCCCACATGCACATTTTCAAACTAAAATCAAGCTCTCTGTGTTTTGGGGGGTATTTATGAGTGCTAAATTTGCGTGCGCACAAGTGCGCATAAACATACACACACAAAACCACACATACACACACACACACACCCCCAGCCTAGGTTTTTGTTCAAAACACCTGACCCAAAATACTTTGCAGGCTTTGCCCCTGCTATTATCACAAAAATCTGTGATAAAATTTACCCTGCTACACTAATCAAAATAAAAAGCAGATCTTACCAGAGGTAATGAAGATAGCAATGGTGGAGGTGCTGGGGGTGGTCCTCCAGAAGCTGGAAGAGGTGGTGGTGGAGGAGGAGGCGGCGGGGGTGGCACAGGCATCTGTCAAGTTTCTAGCTTCACTCCGCTATGAAAGATTCCAGTTGAACTCTAAGTCCTGAGGCGGGAAGAAAATGTCACTACATACTGCAAACAGAAGAACAGTCCCAGCCAAATTGCTAGCTCTCAGCAAACTGAAGATTTTTGTACCCTACAGCCTCTAGTACTACAGTATGAACAGCCCTCATTAGATGAATGTTATCTTCAGATATCTGTAAAGAGCCAGCTGACATAGCTGGACAGCTTCCATGAATTCTAAATGTACAGATGCCAACCTGTTCAACTACAGCTATGAGATTAATCCAGCTCATAACTTGAAATGCAATTATGCTAAAAAGAACAAATTACAATAAGACAAATCTTGAACCCCTTATTACAACGAAACTCCATTTTAAGGAGAGTTTTGTATTTCTATAGATAGATAAAGAACTTTGTAAGGATTTTTGGATTAGGTCCAATAAAACAAACAAACAAACATGATTGAATAATAAACAAAGAAACAATTTTCCAGAATAGAGTTTCATTAGGTGCACTACTACTTCCAAGGAACAGCCCTCCAAGCACTAGAAATTTCAGGTGTTAGTCAGATATGTATAGCATCACTGTCATTTTTTAATTTTAAATTTATTTTCAGAATTTTTTAGTAATATACCAAATCAAGGGGGAAAAAAGGGTATTTTCAATTTTCCAATAAAAGGATGAGGGTAATAATTTACAAATAGAGAACTGCAGATGCTGGAGGACTGCAAAGATTGGGAAAATAATTTTAAAATACATTATTTTTAATAATTTAACTCTGAGGTAAATTGCTTAGATTTTAAATAATCACAGAATTTGAATATATGTTATATAGGTCAAGTTTAGTATTATGGTTTTGGGTGATTGGTTCATGGGTCTAGGGGTTTTTTTAAGTATGGCACTCTCCACAGTATTTCACCAATGCTCATGAAATACAACTGCCAGATTTTTCCTATCATTTGCTAAGAAGAATGGATCAATGTGTGCTAAAATTCCTAGCTGGATTTAGTTGAGTGATGGCTATGACGGGTCTCAGGGTGCCCACGACTGAGAGCCACCTTGTTACCATCTTGCCTCCAGTGTGAAGGAAACTTGCTTGTGCTTATATTGGTTTCAGCTCCCTGACCCTACCAGCGTGTTATCCGCTTAAGCACTCTCCTCTGGGAATGCTAGCCCTTACTTTGCTTTTCAGTTTAATAAGTGCATCTCAGTCCCCAAACCCCTTGGAAGCATTGCCCTGTAGCATCCAGCCCCTTCTCCACTGAACACTCACAGAAATACCAGGCCGGCTATCCCCAAGGGAACATCATACACACCAACCTATATGATCCATCTCAGGATCAGCTCCTTATATAGTATGACAGGATTGAGATATATTTACCGTGAAAAACAACAAGAAGTTTACTATCAGAGAGTCAAGAGATAGTGAGTAAGGATAATGGAATCAAAAGGTTACATATAAAAGAAAATCATAACATGCTTTCTAGAGACTACACCTATCAGACTAACCTTCTGTCTACAGAAGTTTATCTCACCTCAAAGGTCCTTTGCAGAATTTCAACCAAGGCTGGTTGTGATCCCATTTTCATGAATGTAGTTGCACTGCTCAATTACTTCCTAGGTGCAGGATAAAGGGGTGTTTTCCTCGCCTTCTTCTTATATCCTACAAAGTACCCAGACCCATGATAGCCAGCACCACTGCCCCCCACTCCCCTCCCCCCCACACACACACACGTGGCTTATTCTCTGGTGTGCTGCCTCCCTGTTTATTTCACATCCTCCCCCCATTGACTTCATATGTAAATGGAGCTTCCATTGTGTTAGCTTACAATGCTTAATTTACATGCGAACAGAGACAGGTGAACAAATATCTTTTGTCTGACAGAAAACGTGTTTGTTATCTCTGTTCTGATACAGACTTTAGAACATATTTCCAAGATACATACATAATTCCTTACGTAGCATCTGTACATACATTTCACAATGATATTAATGACCAATGTGACCTGGCTTTTATTTAAGACAGCTGACATTCTTTGGTGAACCAGAACGTACATACCTTGGCACTGAGAGGTTCATGGGTCACTGAGTCATCCAAGGAAAGACCAAATTATTCAGTTTGGCATCATACTACCTTTAGTTTTAGGACAATATTAAAAGCTCTGCTGTGGGATATTTAAACTCGCAATACTAGTAATTCATCTGATATTACGCCTTCTAGCTGGCGAAACAGTAGACATTACAATGCCCAAGTTTATATTACTAAAGAAAAGCAATAAATGCCATGACAGAGTGAATCAATGAGAGATGGGACAAATCCTCAGCACCAGGACCAGAGGACCCAGCCAATTTTTTTTTAAAATCATCAAGAGGGTTTTGTATTAAACAGTGTCTTTTTTCAGTATTGTAGTGACCATACTGGCTCAGTAGTGACGCCTCCGAGTCCATCCCCTTTCATCATGAGCCGGAAGAAAAATTTTGACCACATATCATGCTAGTAACAGTAGGGACTCATTTCAGCATCCAGCCAGCAGAGGGCTCCATGATGCTAGCACTTAGCACTAGTGGACAAAGAGGTGACACACAGAGACTGGGCAAACAGGGAGAGAGCCATTGGGTTGTAGGTAAGTGTGAATAGCCAGCAAGTGGTGACAGCCCAGCTGGCTGGGGAGGGAAGATCAGGCCCCAAAAGCTGAAAGCTAAGCCTGGAAGCAGATTGTTGGTGGCAGGAGGCCCGCAGCAGCAGAGAACAGGGTGAACAGACTAAAAGTAGCACGTGAGACACAGGTACATGTCTGAATGACAGGAGAACAATCCAGAGGTGCCCCCAGTGAGACCAGAGAGGACAGGACTGATCTCTGGCCAGTGGGTCTACAGGCCTGCACTGAATTGTCTGTCAGCCCACATACAAAGCCAGAGTAGCCTTGTACCCCTCCTATTGGGCTGCCCTGGGAATCAAGCATGCCTGGAAGGGCAATGAGTCTTATCTACTGACAGTGTTTCTGTTTCTTTTTTTCCTACTCTGCAACACTGGACTTTAATTTTCAATATGAACTGGGTTTGGAAAATATATTCTGAGTGAAAAAACAAACACTTTTGGGGGGGGGGAGGGCTGCAGAACACATACAGGCATGGCAGGGGGGTAAAGCATACTCTGGAGGGGCTGACAGGTAGGAGAAGGAAATGTAAATCCTTAAAAAGCCTATTAGCTGACTTTCCTACACCTCCTTGTCAGCCCCATACTCAGCACTCTTTCCAGCCTCCCCCTTCAAGCTCAGAATCCCTAGGTGACATCACCTCTTCAGCCCCCTTCATGTCCACTGATGCTCACCTGTCTCCACGGACTAGCATGTGTAGCAGACAGGTTCTGACGGGTCTGTGCAGAGGCGATGGGTTTTGCATGTAAAATTTCAATTTGCCCAACTGGACTGCGGAGGTGCAGGCTTTGTTATTTGCACACAGCAGGGTTAGTGCTCGGAAAATGGGTACATTCCAAAAGATGGGCACACTCCAGGGGAAACAGAGATGAAGTCCTATAGTGAAAATCAGGCTCTTAAGATAGAGGTCCATTACTGTAGGATCTACAAATGTTAGTGAATAGGATTGTTATTTATCAGTAAGTGAACCTCTTCTCTACTTATGTCACGGATGTGTGGTTAGTACACCGGGTTCTCTTGGTACAAAGCAATAAAATCTTTAATATTTTCACTTACACATTTACTAGCTTGATTTCTTGGTTGAAGATTACACTGCACTCAACTTCCTGCCCACTCCACTGTTGGTTAAAACAAAGATTGTGTCTTCAAATAATAACTGGAGGGTACTCCTTGGTAACGAATACTCATATTGCAGGTTAAATAAACTCTGAATCTAAAAAGGAAATGTGCCTAGGAGATTGCTAACACCAATGTAAGCGGAAGCCCTTCAAGGTATCATCAATAATGCGTGCTCTCTCACTCTCTCTCTCTCCACACTGTAACCCTTTGCTGCTTCTGCTCTCACTGTAGCATTTTAAAAAACGCTCGCTGTATATTTGTACAACTCTCCCCTTCCCCGATCCATCTCTTTTCGTCAAACGATTTATTTTTCCCTTTCAAAGTTATTTAAAAGAACTAGAGTTCTTTTAACAAGAATTATGTCTCCCTTCCCCCATTGCCAATATTGTTACTCAATCTGGGAGTGCCGGGGAGGGCTAAGGAAGGCAGTTTTACAGTGTATGTGTACAATTATGGTTTTTTAATTGGAGTTGGAGAGGGCTGAGCCTTTCCTGGAAATAAGGAACAAAAGGGGTGAGAAATTTAGCATTTGAAGCTGGCAGTTTGTGGGGGCAAGAGGACAAAGGAAGAAGCCAGGTGGCCATAATTAGTATGGGCAGAGGGCTTGATCCCAGTACTGCTGAAGTCAGTGGCAAAACTTTGATTGACTTTCATGGTGCAGGATCAGACCCTGAAGTCACATTTAAGAGACTGAAAAGAGCTACTAGGTTTTCTAGTTCATCTCCCTGCCAAAGCAAGATTGTACATTTCTTAGTACTTTGTGCAGTCTAATTTTAAGTGTCCCAAATAACAAGGCTTGTATTACATCCCTTGGGAAACTCTTTCATAGTCTAATAGCTCTAACTGTTAGGAAGGTTTTCTGATATTCAGCCTAATTTTTGCCTTTCTTAATTTGATCCCTTTTCTCCTAGTTATACCTTCTTGCACCAGGCTAAATAGAATTATTTAACCTCTTTGGCATCTGCACCTGTGAAATATTTGTAGAATTATGACCCCACAGGCACACAAAATTTAGCCTAGATATATTTGTTTAGCTGTTTTCATCTTCCCTTATAAGTCAGTCCACCAGTCTCTGAACATTTTTGAAATCTATCCAGTTTGTTAATATCTTTCTGGTAATGGGATTCCTGGAACATTTCAGATGCAATTGCACCAGATGTATAAAGAGGAACTATTACCTCCTTGCACCAAGGTAAAATGCCTTCGCTTATGAAGCACAAAATTCCCTTTTCAGAAGTAGAGTTCTACTCCTATAGCCAATAGA